AAGATATAGTAATATTCTGTACCATAGAAGTATATGCCAACATGGTATTTACACATGGTGCACTTGGCAAGTAACCGCTTTAGTAACATTTTCTCTGTTTTCAGTGCAAAAGTTTTCCATCTCCCCCCTTTATACAGGCTCAATAGAACAGGCAGAAATGGAATGAGTCACAATACTGATCTCAGAATTATCATATTTGTTATAAAATAGACTACTCAGTGCTGTTGAAAATAGTCTGACATTTAGATATCACAATAATATTGTTTCTAATATCCTCATTACCAGGCAATTATTACTTAAACTATAATGCAAAGTCAACTGTGCAGTCTACTGAGGAAGGCTGTCATGTTTCTATTGTTGATGTCGACTCACTTTACAAGAACAACTCATTGACTTCTTTCAGTGAAGCTACCTGTTCACAGTTATAACATGGCATCCACAGCTAAATGAACATTATTGGGTTATAGTTCAGCAGCAACCATGGATATGTCAGTCAAAATACATCACATAAGCACTTGCAATGAAACAGAGGTAACTTTCTGTATAAATCGTTGTAAAAATGTATTTGTTTATAATATTGAATAACATTTATAACATTGTAATAACTAAGAAATAATGGTTATGCCACTGATATGTAGTGTATTCGGCTGCAAAGGCCCCACAATTACTGGCCTCAAATTAATATAATTGTATAAAAATAGCAGTCATTGCATTATTGCTCAAGTGCTTGACTAAAATCACAAAGTTATGTGCATTTCGGACCTCAAAATATTACTGTCTCAAAGACCATGTAAAAGATACAACTCGCTATGTATATTTAAAAAAAATTACAGTATCAACAAATACATGCAGTAGGTTAAGATAAGTTCATTGACAATAAGTTATTTTAAGGCACACTGAGTCCGATCCTACAATCACATAGTATTGAGGATGACATTTGTGAATGCTCTGTCAGTTTAAGCATAACATAGGAAACACTAGGTTTTAACTGCAGGTACCTCGAGGCCTCTTCTCATTCTGTCTATGGGTCGCCGTCAATCAGATGCACCAACGACTTTGTATAAGAACCATCTCTTTGGGGTTGCCAGAAAATCAGCAAAGATGATGGCATTCACTATCCTTTAGCACCACATCATAGTTGATGTGGCACAAAAGCAGTGCTCAAGAAAAAACACTTAAAATATTTACACATTTGTAATAACACATTTCTGTACACTATATACAAGGTGGTAATGTACAGCGCCATTGCAAAATTATTCATCCCCCTTGGCGTTTTTCCTATTTTGTTGCATTACAACCTGTAATTTAAATGGATTTTTATTTGGATTTCATGGAATGGACATATACAAAATAGTCCAAATTTGTGAAGTGAAATGAAAAAAAGAACTTGTTTCAAAAAATTCTAAAAAATTAATAACGGAAAAGTGGTGCGTGCATATGTATTCACCACCTTTGCTATGAAGCCCCTAAATAAGATCTGGTGCAACCAATTACTACCTTCAGAAGTCACATAATGAATTAAATAAAGTCCACCTGTGTGCAGTCTAAGTGTCACAAGATCTGTCACATGATCTCAGTATATGTACACCTGTTCTGAAAGGCCCCAGAGTCTGCAACACCACTAAGCAAGGGGCACCACCAAGCAAGCGGCACCATGAAGACCAAGGAGCTCTCCAAACAGGTCAGGGACAAAGTTGTGGAGAAGTACAGATCAGGGTTGAGCTATAAAAAAACATCAGAAACTTCGAACATCCCACGGAGCACCATTAAATCCTTTATTAAAAATTTTAAATAATATGGCACCACAACAAACCTGCCAAGAGAGGGCCGCCCACCAAAACTCACGGACCAGGCAAGGAGGGTATTAATCAGAGAGGCAACAAAGAGACCAAAGATAACCCTGAAGGAGATACAAAGTGGAGATTGGAGTATCTGTCCATAGGACCACTTTAAGCCGTACAAGCCACAGAGATGGGCTTTACGGAAAAGTGGCCAGAAAAAAGCCATTGCTTAAAGATAAAAATAAGCAAACAAACACGTTTAGTGTTCACCAAACAGCATGTGGGAGACTCCCCAAACATATGGAAGAAGGTACTCTGGTCAGATGAGACTAAAATTGAGCTTTTTGGCCATCAAGGAAAACGCTATGTCTGGCGCAAACCCAACACCTCTCATCACCCTGAGAACACCATCCCCACAGTGAAGCATGGTGGTGGCAGCATCATGCTGTTTTTCATCGGCAGGGACTGGAAAACTGGTCAGAATTGAAGGAATGATGGATGGCGCTAAATACAGGGAAATTCTTGAGGGAAACCTGTTTCAGTCTTCCAGAGATTTGACACTGGGATGGAGGTTCACCTTCCAGCAGGACAATGACCCTAAGCATACTGCTAAAGCAACACTCAAGTGGTTTAAGTGGAAACATTTAAATGTCTTGGAATGGCCTAGTCAAAGCCCAGACCTCAATCCAATTGAGAATCTGTGGTATGACTTAAAGATTGCTGTACACCAGCGGAACCCATCCAACTTGAAGGAGCTTGAGCAGTTTTGCCTTGAAGAATGGGCAAAAATCCCAGTGGCTGGATGTGCCAAGCTTGTAGAGACATACCCCAAGAGACTTGCAGCTCACAATAAAAAATATTTTGCATCTTCAAAGTGGTAGGCATGTTGTGTAAATCAAATGAAACAAACCCCCCAAAAATCCATTTTAATTCCAGGTTGTAAGGCAACAAAATAGGAAAAATGCCAAGGGGGGTGAATACTTTCACAAGCACTGTATTTGTATAGTTTGAAAGACAAAATCATTTACAGCTGTATAAATTCTTTTTCTAAGTGCTTCGGCAGTGGAAGGGGGGCATTCGTCCATTGCTCCATGCATTCAGAATAAGTGGTTGCTGGGGTTAACGCTGTAAAACAAACAGGGTTTTTGTCAATGGACCCCTTGACTGGCAATAATGCTGTCACGCCCTGGCTCTGGGGACTCTAGTATGTTGAGCCAGGGTGTGAGTTTTCATTTGTTTTTCGTTTCTAGTTGTTGTATTGCTATGTTGGCCAGAATGGTTCTCAATCAGAGGCAATGAGTGTCAGCTGTTGCTGGTTGTCTCTGATTGGGAACCATATTTAGACAGCCTGTTTTCCCACAGTGGTTGTGGGATCTTGTTCCAGTGTGGTTTGTGTTAGACCGAGGACGTCACGTCACGTTATCGTTTGTTGTTTTGTTCGTGTTATCATCATTCTTTAATAAATATGTTCACTTTTCACGCTGCGCCTTGGTCCTCTGTACCCGACGATCGTGACAGAAGATCCCACCAACACTGGACCAAGCAGCGTGTCCAGGAGCCAGCGCCAGAGGTATCACTAAAGGACATCAACCTCGGCTGGGCCTGGCCCACGGGGAGGAGAGACCCCCAGACAATTTTTAGGGGGGGGGCTCACGCCGTGGACGACGGGGCAGCAGGAGGCCGCTATAGAGCGGTCCAGCGGGGTTGCAGAGGAGGCCGCCAGGTTAAGGGGGCCACTGGTCACAGAGGAGAGGGAAAGTGTAGAGGCACAGCGAGAGGTACTGGGGTGTGTTACCAGTCCGGTCCGGCCCGTTCCTGATCCCTGCGTAGGGCCAGTGGTGTGTGTCCCCAGTACGGTCCGGCCTGTTCCTGTTCCTCGCATCGAGCCTGTGGTGCGCGTCGTCAGCCCGGCCCGGCCTGTTCCTGCTCCACGCACCAAGCCTATGGTGCGCATCGTCAGCCCGGTCCGGCCCGCTCCTGCTCCCCGCACCAAGTCAGTGGTGCGCTTCGTCAGCCCGGTCCAGCCCGCTCCTGCTCCCCGCACCAAGTCAGTGGTGCGCTTCGTCAGCCCGGTCCGGCCCGCTCCTGCTCCCCGCACCAAGTCAGGGGTGCGTTTCGTCAGCCCGGCTCGGCCCGTTCCTGCTCCCCACACCAAGCCAGTGGGGTGCGTCGTCAGTCCGGCACAGCCCGTGCCTGTTCCACCGGTGCCTGGTTCGGCACGGGTCAGCTGCTTCACGCCGGAGCTAGAGCAATCCGCTCCACCAGTGTGCAGTCCAGCTCCGGTCAGCAGGGCCAGACCGGACCAGGGGTACTTTGGGGGGTTAGAAAGGGAGTGGGGATCATGCCCGGAGCCGGATCCGCCGCCAAGGCGGAGTGCCCACCCGGTCCCTCCCCTGTGGTGTTTGGTTGGCGCGGTCGGAGTCCGCGCCTTTGGGGGGGGGTACTGTCACGCCCTGGCTCTGGGGACTCTAGTATGTTGAGCCAGGGTGTGTGTTTTCATTTGTTTTTCGTTTCTAGTTGTTGTATTGCTATGTTGGCCAGAATGGTTCTCAATCAGAGGCAACGAGTGTCAGCTGTTGCTGGTTGTCTCTGATTGGGAACCATATTTAGACAGCCTGTTTTCCCACAGTGGTTGTGGGATCTTGTTCCAGTGTGGTTTGTGTTAGACCGAGGACGTCACGTTATCGTTTGTTGTTTTGTTCGTGTTATCATCATTCTTTAATAAATATGTTCACTTTTCACGCTGCGCCTTGGTCCTCTGTACCCGATGATCGTGACAAATGCAGGAAAAAAGTATTGCAAGAAGAAAGAAAATAGCTGATTCTATTTTTTTTATCACCTTTTTGATGTTTTTTTCCATTCATCTTTGCGTTTTACAAATGTAACATCCTGTTGTAAGCTGAGGGCATGAGGATCTTTAATGCAGAACACCATCCTGGAAAAGGGTCAAACAAGAATAGAATATTAAAAGGTCAAGTAAACTACTTAAACATTTTATTAAGGAAAATTCCAACCAAAAACTATTAGTCCATTGTTGATATAGTGCCAAAATGTTTTGCATGTCAGCAATCAAATTCAAGATATATAAAACTTTCAAAATACAGAATGCATCATAGTCTATTTCTGCACTGCTTTTTCAAAACATTTATATTACTGATGTTTTTATGGATGACAATTGTCTTCATTTCATGATTTTAAAGAAATTAGGCCTCTCAAAACTCACTTTTTCTGAGTCTCCCCAACTCTGATGCGTATTTTGTGAACCTCCACTTCAGAATCCGCATAATCATCTGACCACCAAGACGACACCATTTTGAGCATGGACGAGGCAGACCAACTAGTAGACTCCTCCCACTTGAACTTTACCATCAGTAGGTGGCCTATGTCTTTCTCCGCTACCAACAGGAAGGAATGGGTCTTATTGGTCATTATCTTCTCCTTTCTGCCAATGAGAAAGAGCATAGATGCTCAACAGATTAATGTCAACTCACTTCACAAGAACAACTCATTTAACTCTGAGAAGTCTTTATGGTCTATAGTTCAAGTTCTCGTGCTACTGTATTCTATGATTAGAATACAGTAGCATGAGAACTTGAACTGTAGACCATAAAGACTTATGTTATCATAAACGGTGTCAGGTGTCTTATGTTGATATTGCATGTGCTTTGTTGTATGGTTTAGGGTTTAACTGCCTGTTGGAGCAGGTACTCACAGTGTCAGCTTGAGGTCTTCAACATCTCCTTTGGTTCCAATCAGAGAGACTGTCAGTGAAGGCTCCATCTCAGACCTGTCCACCTTACTGGAGAAGTGGATCTTCAGCTGGTAATGATAGACTCTGAACGGCATGGAGGCCCTGGTCTTGGTGTACATCTTGATGCTGCGTGTCTTGCGGATCTTTCTGATGTTGTAGCCCACGGTGTTACAGTGGTTCTTTCGGCAGCTGAGGCACATTCCGCGGTCGAACATGTCGTTGCTCCCGCAGTGGTATGCCATGCTGGCCTCCTGCTCGTTGACCAGGGAGTCGATGAACAGGTGGATGGAACGCTCATGGGAACATCTGGGAACGTCGGTGATGGCTGTGAACATAAAGGGGATAGTTGCATTACTGGTCCACATTCAAAAACCAGAGTTGAGATTCTCAATTGAAGGAAAAAGTTCCCTTCCCTAACATTACCATTATAGATAGTAATATCAACCTTTATCTGGGCCCTACAATAAGAGTGATGTTTCTGGTGACCTTCTGAAGGGATTCTCTCTAGCCGTGATGTTTGGGGGCCTCTGTTTATAACAGCTATGAATGGGCTTTTGTCAGGCTGACAGCTACAATGTTAGTCGTAAAGACAGATAAGCGACTAGCTGCAGAGTTACTGCAACTGCTGTCATATTGTTGTACTGAAGTCACCACCCTATTGTTGACAAGCCCTGCCATCTTCGAATAAGTTACAAATGGACAATTACATGTCTGCCTTAGCCAATGATAGATCAGTACCCAAATTGTCAACAGAGTCATTGTGTGGAAAGTGATTGTGAATGTTGTTATATACACTGAGTATACAAAACATTAAGGACACCTGCTCTTTCCATGACATAAACTGACAAGGTGAATCCAGGTGAAAGCTATGATCCCTTATTGATGTCACTTGTTAAATCCACTTAAAATCAGTGTAGATGAAGGGGAGGGGACAGGTTAAAGAATGATTTTTAAGCCTTGAGACATGGATTGTGTATGTATGCCATTCAGAGGGTGAATGGGCAAGATAAAATATTTAAGTGTCTTTGAACGGGGTATGGTAGTGGGTGCCAGGCACACCGGTTTGTGTCAAGAACTGCAACGCTGCTGGGTCTCACGCTCAACAGTTTCCCGTGTGTATCAAGAATGGTCCACCACCCAAAGGACATCCAACAAACTTGACACAACTGTGGGAAGCATTGGAGTCAACATGGGCCAGCGTCCCTGTGGAACGCTTTCAACACCTTGTAGAGTCCCTACCCCAACGAATTGAGGCTGTTCTGAGGGCAAAAGGGGGGCTGCAAATCAATATTGGGAAGGTGTCCTTAATGTTTTGTACACTCAGTGGACTCCCGAGTGGCGCAGTGGTCTAAGGCACTGCATCACAGTGCTAGCTGTGCCACTAGAGATCCTGGTTCGAATCCAGGCTCTGTTGTAGCCGGCCGCGACCGGGAGACCCATGGGGCGGCGCACAATTGGTCCAGGGTAGGGGAGGGAATGGCCGGCAGGGATGTAGCTCAGTTGGTAGAGCATGGCGTTTGCAATGCCAGGGTTGTGCATTCGATTCCCACGGGGGGAATCCTGCCACATGAGCACCTAGACTGTAGCCAATGAGGTGGAGGTTTTCAAGAGGTATGTTGGTTGCCTCCTACAAAAAACATTGGAGTAAAGTGTCAAGTTCATTGCCATAGAAACTAGGGGTGTGAACATGAAACGTTAAAACGAAGTTGGGATCCTTAACGTTAAGAAAAATCCCTAAATCACAGTGCAGTTATCACAAAACATAATTTTCCGTGTTGTAGCCTAACTAGTCTGTATGGCTATAAAGGCCTGGGGGAAAGTTGCGTAATTTAAATAAAACCAGCAAACTTAGGTGAATTTGCGAGGCATGCAAGACAATTAAGACATTGCGGTTCTACCTGCCCCCCTCTCTCTCCCTCGCGCTGGCCTGCCTGCTCTCTCTCTTTGCTAATGACAAGAGTGTGTGTTCAGTCTTCGGTCTGTTGCATGTAGAATATCCAGGCTTAGGTTATTCATGGGGCCGATGTTGCTGGGATACAGAGGTAACTTCGGGCCAGTCTTGTGAGCACGGGGTAAGCTCCTCTTCGTTGCTAAGTGGGTGGGGTGTTTTTGTCTCATAATATGAAATTACAGTGGGTTACCAGTATAGCCTGTATCGATTACCCTTTTCAGATATAATGGTGTGTGGCCCCTTGAAAGCGCCTCGGCTACGGCACGTTTGTTTATGTTAGGGTAGGCCAAACTACGGCTTTTTAAAACGCCGACACAAAACCTTCTCTGGAGACATGAAAGGCATTTTGCTTGTCTGCAAAGCAGTGCCGTGCAATGTTCTCTCCAAAAAATGTTTGCCACTGAGCAAATTTCTGGTCTGCTGAGCGCAAAGTTGAACATTGTGAAAATTCTGTGCAACTTCCAGCGCACGTTTACTGTGAACACTGAGGCTGTACCCACTTGAAGTTACCGTTTTAACAGTGGCCATGTAGGCTACTGTGGCTGTTTCATCATAATGTAGGCCTACCAGAGTGTCCTACCATCAAAAACAATGGAGAAAATGAATCATTTTAACAGCCTACAGTAGCAGCCAATGTGTGGTGTTCAATGTATGCCTTCGTTCCATGAGACTTAAAAAAAAAAAAAAAGGGCTTGACATTAACCTGTTTATCCACTTGTCCTTCAGACAAGGTGATTGAAAATGTTGTGTTATTTGATGCAAGAAACCACTTTACAAAATAAAATGCATTATTATTCCCATACCATTATTACAGAGAATCATACAAATTAAGCTACCCTCTGCCTATTGGCTACTTAGCTTATTCAAGCCTGTCTCAAAATACAACACTGCCCCTTTAAGACAAAAAAAAGCTATTTACCTGACTCACTTTTAAAAGATGTCTAGAAATGTACACGTTTTGTGCTCTTACATTTACGTCATTTAGCAGACGCTCTTATCCAGAGCGACTTACAGTTAGTGAATACATATATATATATATATATACATTTTTATACTGGCCCCCCGTGGGAATCGAACCCACAACCCTGGCATTGCAAACGCCATGCTCTGTCAACTGAGCTACATCCCTGCCGGCCATTCCCTCCCCTACCCTGGACGACGCTGGGCCAATTGTGCGCCGCCCATGAGTCTCCCGGTCGCGGCCGGCTGCGACAGAGCCTGGATACGAACCAGGATCTCTAGTGGCACAGTTAGCACTGCGATGCAGTGCCTTAGACCACTGCACCACTCAGGAGTACTCTTGTAGGAAGCAATCTCTCTCCTATTGCTGACTACAAACGATCTATAACTGGGATAGTAACTCACTAACTAGCAAAGGATATGAACAAAATGTGCACAGGTGGCTACATGCAGCTTTCACTTTGATCTCAAAACAAGCGCATTTACTCACGACTGCTCATGCTGTAAACACAGTCCAGTTAAAAGTAAAATGGCACAGATCCATGTATGGCAATGGTCTATTTGCATATAGGCCTACTGCAGCTCTGATTGGTTATGCCACACCGGTCTGTGTAAAGTACGGGCTGAGTAGTGCGTGTCAATGCAATAGAATCGTACTCCGATGCGTTCTGCCTACAACAATCTCTTGCATAGTTTGTTTTGTTTCGGTAAGTTGCATTGAAAGTGGCTAATATTGCATTGATCATTCGATCACAATTGCCACAGTAAAGGGAAACGTTGATAGTGTTAACAGGGAAAACTCTAGAACAGTGGTCACCAACCTTTTCTGAGTCAAGATCACTTTCAGTCAAAATGAAATTAAATTGATGTAATTCTGTCCTTGAGCTGTTCTTGTCTATTAATATTCTGTATTATGTCATGTTCCATGTGGACCCCAGGAGGAGTAGCTGCTGATTTTACAACAGCTAATGGGGATCCTAATAAAATACCAAATACCAAAAATAGATCCGTTGTTGTATTACTTGTGAAGCACAGCTGAGTGAGCATACATTTAAATAATTAGCTTCTTATTTTTCTGGGCTGATGGTGCCTGCATCTGATGGTCAGTCTCAGCGAAGGGAGAGAGCAGCAGACTGAGGGTCGGCCTCTCAACATCCCTCCACTCTCCCTTTCCTCCACTGACTCGGACCTTCCAGCTGATGGTGAAACTCAAGTCGCACCGCATTATTTCTGCCTCATGCACAAATTCATGTTGTTACACCTATGAACAGAAAAAGTGAAATATTCCTTGATATAAAAAAAATACCCAAGCCGCTAATAATAACAATGCAAGCCTATAGATACACTTTCTTTTATGCCTGCTACGTTACTGCAGACACGGTCATCTGAGCCATCCGACTGGCCAGCGGTAGGCCTATAGTGCATTTGATTTGCTCTCTAGGCCCACCAGGAAGGCAGAGTTTGCACCTTCAGAGACATGAAATGGTTCAAAATGGCAACAGTTCACCTACCGGCGAGCAGGGCAGCTGAATCCGATGCACCTACCGCTAACAACCCGAGAAGAATACAAAAAAAATAGGAACACAAGGCGATCGACTGGTTGGTAACCACTGCTCTAGAAAGTAGAGTGAAGTTCAATCCCGTGCTTCTCTCTGTGGGCAGATATTTCTGCCTGCACTCGGGGCGACTGCGTGTGCGCAGTTTAGAGGGAACATTGGTGGCGTGTATTCATGTATGTAAACAGCGCCCCTCAGGCTACACATACTGAGACAATCTGATGTTGTCTGGTCAGAAAGAGAATGACATTGTTGCCATCCGTAGCATTGAATGCAAGAGAAGCCAGCAAGCATTTATAAAAAATAAATAAAATAATAGCCAATCAGCATTGAGCTAAACTAAGTGAGCTCAGCTGTGAATGATCCTGGCGCACCAAAAAAAGTGTCAAGGGAAGCAAGTTTGGATTTGGCTTCAGACCAATCACGTCACAGGCCAAACGTTATTATTGACAGTAAATAACTTGAATTGTTGCATCTCGTTGTGTTGTTGTTCTCCGGTGGCTAGCTAAAATCGTCCCTTTCCTAAATTAGCGATGGATGAGATAGGGATTTGGACTTTGGTTTTACTTAGTTCTCCATACTGGCCAATGATTATTACGGTGATTGTGATCCAACCATAAATTCATACATTGTGCCCCTGGCCTGAGAGGATGGAAGTTGTAGTATGCTAATGTTAACTAGCTGGCCTGGCGTATTGTTGCCCATGGAAGGAAATTAGGCTAGCGAGCAAGCATTTTAGCCAGGTAGCCTAGGACAACAAAAACGAAAAGTATGTACTGTATGTACTGTATGAGTCATAGACCGTTTAGACAACATGAAAGAGGATGGCATTGGCGTTTCTATAGAAGTAGGGTGAGTCAACATGTTTTTTTCTACTTGCACGCACAAACACATCAGTACCATGGACAGCCTCATATTTAGCTTATGTTGATTGGACTAAATCGTTTTTGGTATCTTTTAGTTGTCACTATATTAGACTAAGCATAGGTGACTAGATGATGTTGAAATGGTCCTGGATTAGTGGAGGCAGCTCCTGTTTTCTTTGCGACTTGCGGTAACTCTCCGTGGTTCTAAATTAATAGTTGTTTAACAGTCCAAAAATGTTGGAAACATTACCTTGCTTGACCATGCTGTAGGTCATGTAACTGTTTGTTACATGGAATATGTTTTGTGGATGTTGTTCTCTGGTTTGGAATGAAACAGATGTGTGGTTGAATTTATTCTGCCACTGTGTCTTCTTATTGTCTCGGCCTTAGGCCTATATATCACGGTGTCAAGGCATATGAACTAACAGATTATGGAGCAAACAACGCAATTATCACAACACATAGGTTGTCCCAGTGATTTTACCCATGCACCACTACTGTTGTAAAGTAATGCAACTTCTGAAGCGGGACTAACTTCCATCCCTAGGCGACCAGAACTGTCAATCCTAGCCTGCCGCCTGTACGCAGACCACTCTTTCCTAAAAGAAAGTACTTTAAAGTTCATTAAATATCGCAACTTATATTTAGTAGAAAGAAAGAACATCTAGCTACCCTACCATCAAAACAGCATAAACACAGCAGCGCATCAGCAACGTTTATTGTTGTCAGGGAAACAACAGAACATTATGTGCCGGAGCAGAATTATACTGTCTGAAGTCTTCTGATGCGGCACTTTTTTAAATTGTCTGAAAAGTTACATTATCGACATGTTCCTGTACGGTGTTCTATGTCTGTAAAGGGTCGCCGTAGATATAACTTAATTGCCCGGCCCTAGCGGTCATACATACTTAATAGGACCATTATTCTGCATTGTGAATTACAATGGAATCGTTTTAATTGGAAAACTGATAAAAATGGCAGTTTAAACATTAATAATTTTTTCCATTTGTCACATCCCTAATAGAAACAATATACAGTAAATCTTTGTTTATAACATGTTATTTATACTTTCTCTGAAAAACAGTGCAGTGACTTCGATGTTGAGTCATCGTACAAACCTCCAGCCAGTCAATGAAGTGAGCAATATCTCGTCCCACCATCTTGGTGTTCTGGGCGGTTACAGGATAGTGGTTCTGGGCTGTGTACAGCCAGTCCACCACGATCACATTGGCATCCAGCTCTCTCTCATACAGTGCTGACACCAGTTTGGCCACCCAGCTCTCAAACAAGCCGAACACCTGTTGTGGCAGTGAGAAAGCACAAATGGTTTGTTATTGACGGGGAATCCAAGCCCTTGAGCAATAGTTGTGAAGGACTTAATGTCACAGACATGCTGCTACAGGTTGGAGGGGCTTACCGTCCAGCCGTGGATCACCAGGAAAGTTTTAGAGGTGCTGTTGAAAGTCCATTCTTTGAGAGACTCTGGGTTGCCGGGGATGATGTAGCAGATGTCATCTTCCGGCATCAAAGGCTTCCGGAGGGAGAATTTGGTGTAGGCATGAGGGGTGGCATCGTTGTTTTGAAACAAGTCCTTGAAGTTGTCCATTAAATTATCTTAGAGAGGAATGTGAACACAACACATAGGCTTTAGAAATATTTGAATATTAATTGGACCATAAACCAGACAGGTAGAATTCAAGACAATAGAAAGTAGCTGTAGGCCTATGGATTGTAAGATGTTTTGATCCTTGCTGCTATTTCTAATCTTTAATTACACTGGTGGTGGTGGGGATGCCTGACTGCACAGGCCCCTCAGTACCAGGGGGGCTACTAGGGTTCAGTCAGTCAGACAGACCCCATAGAAACCACAGCTTTTCCCAGCTTTGTTCCTCTAGCTCTGACAAATCCCACAGGGTATAAAAGTAGCTGTGTTCACAGTGGATCAGCAGACTCCTTGGCCAAGGCTATAGTTAAGCACTAGGCTACTGCACTGCAATGAATGGAGGTTGCATTCCATGAAGGTTAAAGCAGACACAAATACATTATATTTTGAATAATAAATAGACCATAGCCTTTCTGTATTCATATGCAATCTGACTACATCCATGTCTTACTTCACCATTGCAGAAGACCTACATCAAGTTTTGTATAAAACTTTTGAGTTTCTGTAGCTTATCTATACTGAACAAAAATATAAACGCACCATGCAACAATTTCACTGAGTTACAGTTCATATAAGGAAATCAGTCAATTGAAATACATTCATTAGAACCTAATCTATGGATTTCACATGACTGGCAGGTTCGCAGCCATGGGTGGGCATAGGCCCACCCACTGGGGAGCCAGACCCAGCCCCACAAAATGGCTTTATTACAGACAGAAACACTCATCAGCTGTCAGGGTGGCTGGTCTCAGACGATCCCGCAGGTGAAGAAGCCGGATGTGGAGGTCCTGGGCTGGCGTGGTTACACGTGGTCTGCGGTTGTGAGGCCGGTTGGGCGTACTGCCAAATTCTCTAAAATGATGTTGGAGGCGGCTTATGGTAGAGAAATGAACATTCAACTCTGGCAACAGCTCTGGTGGGCATTCCTGCAGTCAGCATGCCAATTGCACACTCCCTCAAAACTTGAGACATCTATGGAATTGTGTTGTGTGACAAAACTGCATATTTTAGTGTGGCCTTTTGTCCCCAGGACTAGGTGCACCTGTGTAACGATCATGCTGTTTAATCAGCTTCTTGATATGCCACACCTGTCAGGTGGATGGATTATCTTGGCAAAGGAGAAATGCTCACTAACAGGGATTTAAACACATTTGTGCACAACATTTGAGAGAAATAATGTGTGTATGGAACATTTCTGGGATCTTTTATTTCAGCTCATGAAAAATGGGACCAACACTTTACATGTTTCATTTATATTTTTGTTCAGTATATTTTGTCTACTCTCATGTCCAATATGCATCAACATTAGGGATTTTTTCAATCCCTAATTATAGTAACGTTACTCAAATAGTGTATGAATGGCTGTTCAGTCTTATAATTGAGGTCATATCCTATACTAACAATTTAGTCTACGTCATCACAAACTCCCGAAATTTGATATAGCCTCATCATATAAAATTACAGTATCTAAAGGCTGTCATCTACATTTATAATCATCTGAACAGTTCGATTCTTCAGAGAATGTGTCATTTAGCGGCACAAATGCAATGTTTTCTAATCAGACCATAAAACGCAAAATAGTCATTCTCAATAGTAGTTTAATGGATTATGTACTCACCAAGGGTATGAACAAAGTGGTCCTGATCCAAAGTACACACATAAAATACTGCATTTAACACAAGAAAGTAAAGACATTGCACTTGCAACCCTTTCATTTCTTTTCAACCTAATAATTATTATTTTGGGGAAATGTCAAGTTTGCAATCTAAGGCCCGAAAAAAAAGAATTGAACGTAAAACCGTGACAATTTACCACCGGTTAGATTTCCTGTGCGTTCGGTAGCGCGTAGTGCTCTGAACCACCTTGAAGTGCCCAGTTCCTAAATGGGACCTCTCCCTCTGTCACAAACCTATTGGTTGATTTTACCCGGTGCAGGGAATGAGGGTATAATGTAAATGTAAGAAATCCCGTTGATAATTGGCAATGAAGTTTTAATAATTGTATTCAAGCATGTGTTATTTACAATGTGACTAGATTGAATTAGTTGTTGCCCATAGCTACAAATGGCCTTGCTCTTGACTGCATAAGTGAGGGAAATTTCTACATAAAGTTTGAGCATGCCTGAAAAAATAATAATGTTAATTTAACACTTCCCCATACAATGTGATGGGAATGGTGCACGATAGTTGCTTGGCTTTGGAACGCTCAACACATTTAAGGAACTTGACACCACCCCCCAAAAAAACAAAAAAAAGGTATTTCATTGCTTTGACAGAACATTTCCTAAAAGTTCAAACTGATTTCAATTTTTGTAATGTTCTCCAACTGGTTTGACATTGGGAATGTTATCAAATAGTTCAGAGAACATTATGAAACTTGTGGGAATTTCAGTACTTCAGCATAAAATTTCCTCATGGAAATGGACTAGGGTTCTGGCGGACTAACGGTTGCTGCCACCATGGTGCATGGGTCAGAATGCACATGGGGAGATCATGGGTTGGATGGTTTTATAAGACTGGTGGGAAGGATGTGTTAGAAGTTGTGACTTGTAAGGCCTTGGAGATAGATTGGATGTGGTGGTCTGGAAGGGAGATACAAATGGGAAACATTAGGAACACAACAGAATGGTGCAGACATGACAAAGTAGTGCCAGGTGACTATGGGGAAATAGGTTTAACATAACATCTATAAACGAAGGAGACTGCCAGGAATAAAATAAAGGAGCAATAGCATGGATATAAAGGATACGCCATAAATTCAGGCATCATAATACACATAGTTAACTTACATTTCTCCTACAATATAATAACAAAGGGGAACTTACTTCATCATCATCATCATCACACACACACAACGGATAGGGCAACACCAAGCATAAACTGAACTGGTAGATAGGAAGGAGCAAGCCGCTTATCAAATCAAATTTGATTTGCCACATACGGCGATGTCACGAGTGTCAGTGTAATGCGGTCGATCGAAGTCAGGCGCAGGACACAGAACTCGAAGAAACGTACTTTACTGAAATGAGTAAAGAATACAACACAGAAATACCTCCACACAGGGAGGAACTAACCCGCTCACCAACGACACACATACCAGCTTCCTCACTTAAGACCATTGATCTTCCCAACATTTGACATACTGTATCAGTCAGTAGGGATCTGGAGTCCATGTGAATTGTGATTGGTCAGCCTCAGAGGTCTGTTGGACCAGTCCTGTGTTTCCATTATCAAAGCAGTGCACCAGTGTGTACGTAGGACTAAGAATAATATCACCTGCTAGGGTCACATGCTTTCCTTCAAGAATGTGCACATGGCAAGTGTGTCTAGCCTCTATGGTGGACCATTGTTGTCAAGCGCCAAGGAAAAGTCCAGAGTGGACGCCCTGACAAACCTATCAGAGGCCCCTGGTCGCTCAGAATGAGGTGGAAACAAAGTTTGGCTCCGATGCTGGCATTTGTCGCTGTTGTTTTGGAACAACTGGGACAAAAGGGGAAAAATCCCCACAGAAGTTGTCTTATTGTACTGTTGCCAGATTCAACACACACATCCACTGCTGCTCCCCCCAAAGAAAAAGCAGGTCTTGTAGCGTTCCAGTTGCCATCCAATCTAATGTTGCTTTTCTAGGAACATGACAGAGTTTCCTTGTAAAGCAGGAACAGCAGTATTAGAAAAACAGATGCAATCACTCCCCATTGCTATGGTGCTGCCATTCTGGAGGGAAACTGATTTTGGAGGGAAGCATCTCATTCAGTGTTATGGTGACGCAGTTTGTTTTGATTAGATAAAGATGGAAAGCTGTACTGTAGAGATTTGGAAAAGCCAGTGATTTGGTTTGGTTTGGAAGCCAACGTAACAACAATTGCTGGCCAAAGTTTTGGAGGTGATAAATTGTTCTGGAATGCTTTTTCTTTCTAAGAATTACATGTGTGGTTCTAAAGACTTCAGGAAGTTCTTACCATGTGAACTGGAAAGATATCCTAGTTTATTTATCATAATTGTGATATATAGTGTGTGTTGTGTAGCTAAATGAGCCGGAAGTGGATCTTTTTCCCATTAGGAACATCTTTAAAATTATTCTAAACTATTCCATCCTCACTGCAAACATTTATCTCACGTTGTTTGCTTTGTTTTTGGAGCTTTTCATAAGAACTTTAATGGAAAAATGACAATAACTTCTTGGAGAGGCATTCTGGGGACAACCGTTTTGGGACAATAAGTTCAGTGAAAAGTAAGGTTTTAACCACATCTTTGTAGGGGCGACAGTCGTACACAAACACAAAAACACAATAAGGAAATATTTTGATGACATCAAGGGAGGGAAGAAGTTTCTTAACCCTATTTCTGTCCATCACCCCTGACGGAACACAGGCAGACCGGATTGCTTAAACACATCAGTGTCATTCCTCAATCCGACTGTAACTTACCGAATGAGGATGAGCCTGGATGACAGATGGTTTCCATGTTTTCGCCAAATACTTTCAAGATATATCTTCTTAATCCATGAAAAATATGTATTAATGAATGAATTAAAGCAAAATGTTGACAAAATGTTTCATGTATCTCATGTTGTTGTGTACAGTAACTGAAGTATCACAGTAGTGAATCATGGGGAAATACCTATCCTATCATGTTTCCTTATTTTTTTGATGCTCCAAATTCCAATAATTACCCATTAACCTCACTGTTTTCATGGGATTCTACCATGTATTTCCAACTCAGGGAATTTGGGGTCCAAAGCTATTTCTCAGTGTATTGCCACTATGTGTTGCATAACTTGTTTTGGTATTTTAGGGTACTGATGATAGGCTCTAATGTCAGACGTAAGGTTTAATGAGCCGCAGGTGTCAGATTAGGCACAATGAGACCACTGTGTGTTAAGCACAGGAGTAATAACACTGTTATTACAACAGTAGCCATCCACATCAAATGATGTTAGTGTTATTTCTCTTATGTATGTTAGCAAATATTGATAATACCTGTGAATGACAACTGCCTCTATATTGATGGCATAAGTTTCAGCATGTGATCATATTAAGAGATTAAGATCACTTTATTGGTCAATTGTACTCAAGGTCCAACGGAAATTTGACTTCCGCTTTTAACCAAACCCCTCCTAAAGACACACATACTGTACATATACACGTTTTGGAGAGATGAGGGGGGCTGCTACACTGGGCGCCAGGGGAGCTGTTGTTGTGGGGGGTTACGTGCCTTGCTCAAGGGCACAATGGCATCTAGAGTTTGATACCAGGAACCCTCCAGTTGACAGCTCACTTCCCAACAGATTTTTCCCATCAGACCCGAGATTCGAACTGGCAACCCTCCGGCTGCTGGCTTGCCTCTAACTACTAGACTACCTGCCGACTATATACTTATATAGTCAGTCTTGTAAGTGATGTATTGCCAACAATTATACACTATTGAGTTATGTTGACAGAGATTTGAATAATGTCCTAAGAATAGCTACATGTTGAATCTAGTTACATGTTCTAGGGTTAGAATAAGATTTAAGGAATTCAAGAACACAATATGTAGATCAAGGGAGTAGTAAATCCAAGAATACCCAGATGTATAATGTATTCACTTTATTAAAGTATCATGTTTTTCCTTCATACAGTGCACTGCATTTCAGTTCATAAAAGTACATGTACTCATCAGCTAGCATGGAGACCAATTTGATCAGTCTGTCCAAAGCCACACGCATAAAATCAAAGCTTCATCAATAAAAATAAAGACATAATTGGAAACTTGCCCAAATATATTACAGCTTAATATACAAATATATACAGGTACATTCAATAAATAGAATATGAAACATTATTGGGATGTATTATGGCTATTATGTAGGGCTGTCCACCCATGTTTGCAAAGGCTCAGAGATATGTTCTACATTTAGTGTAGCATTTTGTTTGACCTTTCAAAAAGGCATGCTTGACCAATAGGGTTAAGGTAATTGTTTCCACATAATTTTGGACCTATAAAGGATGTAATAGAAGTTTTCAGGAAATGCTAACTTCTGCTTGTGACCTCTCTTCTTCTCAAGTCAAGTGACCAATTAAATAATAATCTAAACACAACAATCCAGTTTGACCCGTGCCAAACACAATAACCAAATGCACACAAAGAACAAGCAGGGTATTAATCTACAACAACAACTCATATATACTGTATAATACTGATTGAAAAGCTATTTACATGGATCACTGTAATATTCAACTCAGTAGACAGTGTCACCATCTTTGGTCCCTGTGATGGTGGCAGTTAGTGGTTTAGGCATGACGGCATTAGTGACATTATTATTATTACATTTACATTTGAGATTTTAGTCATTTAGCAGACGTTCTTATCCAGAGCGACTTACAGTTAGTGAGTGCATACATTTAGCATACCGAATGTGGAAAAAAGCTTTAATAAAAGCAGAAGCTATGTCAATCTCTTTTAATCAAAAGTTTGAATCGGAATTACCCAGAATAGGGTTAGAAATACATTTATGTGATTTGTATACATGAACACAGATGAAGGATTTCAAAGATAATGTACCAACGTCAGACAAAGTCAAAACCATTAAAAAGCTGATTTTAGAATGACAATTGTAACACTCTCCATGATGACGGTTAATAGAAGAAAAAGCCCATAAACTGACTCCCAGCACAGCGGATAACGTGATATAGATTGTGCTTGGGGATGGAGATTTCATGACATAGAATGGAAGGCAGAAAACAGTACAGGTCAGAGACTAACTATCTTCTCTCCAGCATGCTCTCCCAGGCTTCATCCAGCTTTGGCTGTATTCAAGTGCTGCTTCATGCAGTGTTCTTCTTGAAGAGGCTTCCCTGCATCTTGAGCCTGTGCATCCTAAAGATAAGATAGAAGGGGGAAAAAAGTAAACAAAAGAACATGAGGAAGGAAGTTCTGAATCTTTGGATTTGATAGATTTTTATGCATTCAAATGACCAAAGTTTTACAAAGTTTGCTAAATGTTCCGGTTTTCTTACGTTTTCTCTTTCCGGCTCATGTTGTCCTCTTTTGATTTGACAAAGACTGCGTCGTCTTTTCCTCTGACGAGGTAGGCAAACTCTCCATCTTTAGCGCTGAAGATCACCCTGGAGTCAGACAGTAAAGACTATCAGTAAAGCCTTCTGAAACCTGTATCATACAACCTCAAAGACTGGCAATCTGAAAGATGATGTGCAGTGTCAAATATATTAAAATAAGGTCCACAGTACTGCTGGGTTTTGATTGATTAATCTCATTGATTAATCTCATCAATTGGAAAATTCAGATCATCATTATCATCATGACTTACTTGGACTGAGTCTCCCCGGCCTTGACGCGCATTTTGCGGATGTGGAAGTTGCTGTTACCCCACCAGTCAGACCAGCTGAAGTAAGCGTCTTTCTCCCAACGCAGCTTGACCATAAGCAGCTCCCCGATGTCCACGTCGGTGGTCAGCAGGAAGGACACGGTGCTGTTAGTGTTCAGGAAGGGCCTGATGGGTCACACACAGGTCAAAGGTTAGGGGGTCAGTTCACCTTCTGTACTGTATATAGTACCCAGCTGAGAATAGGTGACGAGGTGATATCTCTGGGGTTAATTATGAGCTACAACGTCAGTGTATGATATTTGTACGTTTGGATATGTTTAGAAATTATATCAAGCATTTCTTGACAACTAAGTATAAAAAATGAAATAACTATAATTTTTGTTATTTTATTATTTTCTTTAATATCAGACTATACATACATGATGTAGGGAATGTCTGCCTTCTCATCATGGGTTCCGTACAGAGAGATTTTCATGGGCTGCTCAGTGTAGTCCAGTTTCTCGCTGCTGAAGAAATGCACCTTCACTTGGTAATGGAAAACTGTGGAAAGAATGACAGAGACCTTAATTTAGAACCACGCCACACACAGATGTCTGAAACCCTGAGTATGTTTTCCTGTGCAAACACCTGCAGTGTGTCCAGTTGAGACACATTCTCCAACTGTTTGAAATGTTTGTGGCATGTGGACATTATCCCATCACTAATGTCCACAGTTAAAGCTAAAGATACTTACCCTGCTCCCACAATACTGTAGTACCTCCATGATTATGACCTGTCTTTGCATACCCATATTATTGATCTGCTTACTGCCTTGACTAAGGGTGATAAGGGAAGGAAAATGCTTCAGATGAAGCATTAACGAATAGAATTGGCATGTAAAGTATCCTGTAACTTTCCACCGTAAGCAATCACGTGCGGTGATGTCCAGTTACCAAACTACGGCCACTACTGAAATACTAATAGCCTCACTCTAATGTGACCTTCATGGCTTGCACCATAAACCTTGTTTAATCCCCCCTGCTTGTTTTGACCCTGATGCCACTAACGTATTAGATGTGTTAGACTGTGCCAATCCTACATTAGTGGGGTGAGGGGGGTGGAAAATGGACGCAGGCTGGGCGGTTGTTATGGAATCTTTTATGGATAGGGAGTCAGGAGGGACTGATAAAGGCGGGACTTGTCTAGACTTGAGTAGTCACACTGTTTGAACAGGGTTATGCAGTACTGATACAGTATGTGCACCGGGGGCCCGTTGTACTAATGTAACATACATGGCCTGGTAAAGAGACTCAGTCCTCCGTTAAAGCTCTCAATGCCAGTTTGAGCTAAGCCCAGCTCCATGCCACCACTACAATAACTACATTCAGCCTTCCGGACCAATACATTGAGGATTTGATAACTAATGTACATCAAGTCTTAACTTGTGAAAATCTATTTTAGTGCCAGGGAATTAACCTTCTGTTGTGACAAAGATTAATCCAATTGTGCATGTGTGCTCTCTCATCCTAAAATAATTCCCCTACATCTCTCTCGCCCTTACGTTTGAAGGGCATCATCTCGCGGGTCTTGAGGTACATCTTGGTGCTCCGGGGCAGGCGGACCTTGTTGACGCCGTAGCCCACCTTGTTGCAGCGGTTCTTGCGGCAGTTGAGACACATTCCCTTCATGAAGGCCTCCTTGGAGCTGCAGCGGTAGGCCATGCTCTGATGTTCTGCTGCGTTCACCAGCGAGTCGATGAACAGGTGGATGGAGCGCTCGTGGGAACACTTCACAATCTGGTCCATATCTACACAGGACCCATGTAAAACAAGACCATTAGGACCATGATGACTGAATTACTGGCTGATTCTCTAATATACACCAGACTAACTGTGCGACCGTGTCTGGGACATTTGATTACTCTGACTTATGACGCATGGCTTTCAGTGTGTGGTTAGAAAAGTTAAGACATTGAAAATGACACTTTTAATGGAGTCAAATGCAGCTATTTAAACTTCAAGAAACACGCCTCATTAAGATTTACTACATTATAATAACAGACTGTGATTATATTACATTCCAGTGTTAAGTTACAGTACATACTATGGATGCCCGTGGTGGCGATCATCATCATGGTGTTCTGCAGGTCACAGCCTGGCTGGAAGGTTCCTCCGTTGGGGTAGATGTCCACGTGGCCCACCGGTCTCTGGATGCCGATGCTGCGGTCTGGGGAACCCCGGGTGTTGGTGTGCAGGACGTCCACGAAGAGAGCATCATCAGGGGACAGGGTGCTCTGGGCGTCAGCGTGCTCAAAGGTAGGGCCGGCTGGGTCCAAACCTGGTAGACGGATGGAAGGAGAGAGAAGGGGGAAGAAGAGAGAGATCAGTAACGGTCCATCTGTAATACTGTACATGAGACCATGCAGGCCAAAGCCTCTTAGTGTGCTTCCAGCTCTGAAGTAAAGCCTCAAGGTACTCAATGGATGTGATTATGGCGTTTAATGGTCTGCTGCCTCCTGGGCCTGATCTGGTTCAGGGGTAAACATGTTAATATTCTAAGCAGGTCAAAGAGATTTCATAGTTGGGTAAACTTTATGGAGACAAATGGGGGGACTGTTGAGGCTAAATTCTCTGAGATAGAACTTGCATATGTATGCATGTTTGTATCCATGGTACATGTACTGTATATATAGTGACAGACTGATAGACAAACAGTAAAACCTCTTCAGTAGAGAAGGACTGTCTGCTCACCTGTGATCCTGCTGACTTTGTGGTTGGTGAGGAGACCAGCGATGCCGGCTACATGAGCCCCCAGACTGTATCCCAGCAGATGTATCCTCTCCCAGGGGTAGTCCAGTGTTTTCTGACAGGGGGGGAAAGCAAACATGGTTTTATTCCTATTTCCTAAACTGTCAAGTGTGTTGTGACTGTGTAAAGACTTGGCTGTAAAACCTCTTACGCCATGGGTATCCTAACACCCTCTAAAGTATATTCTGTTCCATCAGTTATACTGTCCGCTTACACATGTAACCATTTCAGGCGGTTTATCATACCAATGTGTCCTCCCTCGCCCTAAAGTATTTTTCTAGTAGAGGATATGCTTCACTAGCTCCACATGCCGCTTCTATCAATAATGTGATGTGGATCAACAACATTGCAGTAAAAAGCCTTTATGAGGCGTACTAACTCAGAACCAGGAGGAAAAAACATCCACAACTCTGACTTCTAAAACATTGCATCACCAGTAATTTATAGTATACTGAACAAAAATATAAATGCAACACGCAACAATTTCAAAGATTTTATAGAGTTACAGTTCATATAAGGAAATCAGTCAATTGAAATAAATTAATTAGGCCCTAATCTATGGATTTCACATGACTGGGAATACAGATACGGATCTGTTGGTCACAGGTACTGTACCTTTTTTAAAAATTGCCTCACAATAGGCCTTAGTATCTCAAATCAAATTTTATTTGCCACATGCGCCGAATACAACAGGTGAAATGCTTACTTACAAGCCCTTAACCAACAATGCAGTTTAAGAAAAACATAAAAATAGCAAATAATTAAAGAGCAGCAGTAAAATAAAATAACAGTAGGGAGGCTATATCAGCTTCTTGATATGCCAAACCTGTCAGGTGGATGGATTATCTTGGCAAAGGAGAAAATGCTCACTAACAGGGATGTAAACCAATTTGTGCACAACATTTGAGAGAAATATGTTTTTTGTGCCTATGGAAAATTTCTGGGATCTTTTATTTCAGCTCATGAAACATATAAACACTTTACATGTTGCGTTTATATTTTTGTTCAGTGTATTTTCAATAACTAGGTCGATTCCAAACTTCATGTGCAACTTTTGTTCAACTCTCCCATTTACACTACTGCCTGAAAGTCTGATCTCAAGTTAGAAATCAGGCCATTGTGTGAAGCTTATATTATATTATTTCCCATGTACACAGTGTGCTTGAGATCACTTACCTGCAGCCAGTTGACAAACTTGGCCACGTCTCTGCCCACCAGCTTGGTGTAGGCGGCGGAGGTGGGGTAGTGCTGCTGGGCCCGGGTCAGCCAGTCCACCACGATCACGTTGGCCTTGGGCTCCCTCTCATACAGCGCTGTCACCAGCTTAGGGACCCAGCTCTCAAACAGCCCTGTGACCTGGAGGAGATTCTGGGATCAGTGGCTGGCTTGACCCACTGTGCCCCTATCCCCCATTGTCTGCTCACTGCACTGATTAAAGACCAGCCAAGTGTCAGCACTTTAATACATGAATGAGCACTAGAGTATTATAATTAGGGACAGCGGAAGGCTTCTCATCATGCATCTAGTTATCATTGCTGAATCTATTTTTAGGGACAATTACTGTTGAGTTATTTCCCTCATAATATAAACAATACACCTTATTCAAATGATGGTCAACAATTTATGCTTTTGTAGTAATAAATCATATTAGAGTGTCAAAGCTTTTTACCGTCCATCCATGAATAACGACAAACGTCTGAGTCTCAGGGTTGAATTCACAGTCTGGGACGGTTAAGGGCTGGCCGGGAACGATGTAACACAGGTCATCATCTGGTACCTCAGCGGTTCTCAGGGAAAACTTGGATACAATGTCGGTGTAGTCCTCAAGCCATTCAGTAGAGTTGTTGTTACCTGCACAGAGTGATGATATTTACATTTTTAGTCATATAGCAGATGCTCTTATCCAGAGAAACATACAGGAGATTTTAGGGTTAAGTGCCTTGCTCAACAGCACATCGACATATTTGTCAAATAGTCGGCTCAGGGATTCAAACCAGCGACCATTCGGTTACTAGCCCAACGCTCTTAACCGCTAGGCTACCTGCCGCCCGCTTTACTGCTAGTGCATAATCTTGCATGTTGGCACTTTAAACAGAAATCCTGTTATAATGGCATACAGGTTACCATTATGCACAATGCAGGGGAGTCAAGAGTCTATAGGCATCTGCCTCATTCATTATACTATTGTTTACATTTTCAACCAGATAAATATTTAAACTCAGTCTAGATGTCCTATTAGTGAAGAGTTTGTCATAATCAAATCAAATGTTATTTGCCACATGCGCCGAATACAACAGGTGTAGACCTTACAGTGAAATGCTTACAGCAATCAAGATTGTACAAGGCAGTCACTAGCAATGCAAACACTTTACCACTACCAAAAATGTACTTCTGATTTGCATGACAAATAAAATCCAGCATCTACAATTTGTTTACAAAGAAACAAATTCGAGTATTTTTTTATTGGATCTTTCATGTGGTGGCAATTCAGCTTTTTTATATTCACACACTGACTATCTTGGAAGAAAATATTTACAAAGACACAATCTGCAGAATCTATCAGTTTTTCAATTGGTATAATCTAGTCCAATTACCAGCATGATAAAATATATAATGAAACGTTTTAACAGTCCAGTGTCACCCCCTTTTGCCACTTGCATTTCTACCAACCAAACGTTCATTCATGATTCCACATTTTCTAGTAATGCTATTAGCCTATTGAAATTAAGCATTTAGGGGGGATTTCACACAAAAACAGGCCTATCGACCAAGTCAGCTAAGAACAAATTCTTATTTACAATGACGGCCTACACCGGCCAAACCTGGACGACGCTGGGCCAATTGTGCGCCACCCTATGGGACTCCCAATCACGGCCGGTTGTGATACAGCCTGGAATCGAACCGGGGGTCTGTAGTGACGCTTCAAGCACTGAGCTGTAGTGCCTTAGACCGCTGCGCCACTCGGGAGCCCATTAAATATTGAATATGATGTTAATAATAATTATAATATATATATAGGCTATGTTATTATGCAAATACGTGTAAAACAAATGGAAAATAGTTATTATGCATAAAAAACATGTTAACATATTTTAGTTCTCAAAGTATTGTTGTAATTGCACTTGAATTTGCAAATAATTATCTGCCATGAAAATGCCTAATTTCCTTTCTGATCCAATTATTTTTTTGTTGCACTGGTTGAAAAGATTATTCATGAAAGAGGTACCCACTGCGCACCCTAAACAAAAGGCCCCAGAGGAGTGGGGTAGGTAGGTCTGACAACTTTAGAAACTCTTTTCTGGGTTACTATGGGTCAGTTAGAGCTGGCTGCACCAATTATGCTGCTTCCCCTTGGCTTGAGTGTTTATTTTACGAGAGAAATTCGACTAGGGGCAGACTGGGATCAGAAATTGGCCCTGGCATTTCTAACACACCAGCCCATTCTTTTTCTTGAGGCCCCCACACCGGCACATTTTTTCCTTGAGGACCCCATTATTAGCCAAATAATTATACTTTTGTGCAAAAAAACAAGTTAGACAGGCCCACTGGACAAAAGAAATTGGCCAGCCCATCTGGCATTTGCCCGAAATGCCAGATGGCTAGTCAGCCCCCAGGAAAATAATGTATTTATTTAACCTCTCTCTAACAAAGCCAAAGTCAGCTCTACAAACAGTAGAAATGCCTGTTACTTACCAAAATGTGTTTGTTCTGGTGTACTTGAAAAAGATGCACAGATATTTGCCAGAATGATCCAAACGGTGACCAAATTGGTATTTTCTTTTCCCATATTATTGTTGATCTAGAGGTTCCTCTGTCAAGTCCCGAATGAAAAGTTCCTTGAATGTTGGTTTAGGAGTAGTAGATCCAATTGTATAGGTCAGTAGGATCACCGCTCCGGTCAAAAACTATGATCTGACTGTGATCACAGAGTAGTTTCTTACGAAGTCTACCACAATTGCCGCTCCAAGTTGTCTTTATGAGAGGCTCATTTGAATAAACAAACTCCATTGGTCTGAAGTGAGTGGGCTGGACTTGAGCTGGTTCCAAACGCAAAATTGCAACAATGTGCCTTCACCGATGCGCTTTACATATGGAAATGTTATAGGATTTGCTGTTCTATAGGTTTCACTTGTAATCCTTCATTTCAGAATAATATCTTGTTATGGTTAAAATATGTTCACCAAATCGGTTTACTTGTTATTTGTTTAGAGATTCAATGCATTAGCCTAATTTGTTTTACAACTTTTTTCAAGATATATTTTAGAAAATATCAAATAAAAAATGTAATCCGAAATGGGCTTATATAGGTGTGTGAGCTATGCAGTCTATAATCTCATGCTCCAGTTTTGCGCTCTTCTGTGATTTAGGCCTACCAGACACAATGCAGCATAACTAGAGTGTTTCATAAAACACACGTTCCTTGTTAAAATGTAGTTTGAGAAGAACCAGTGACGTCGTTTTAAGTAACAATGGGTTTTTCCCCGCAATATTTATGAATCTTAATATACGTCTATCCAATTATATCTCGAACTATCTCTATAAAGCAAAAAGTTATACGTTTTGTGTGTAGGCTTCTGCTAAAGACACTATTGCAGAGACACTATTGCTGCTGAAAGATCTAGCCTACTAATATTTATTCAATAAAATGTGTCGATTTAATTTGTAATGTACTTGTATAATGTCATATTTTTGGTATGCTATACCTCGTTTAAATCCATTATAAAATATATCGTCAAAAACAACAGTTAGGCCTAATAGGCTGCACTTTAAAACATGTTGCATTGAGCTTACTGGAATTAAAACAATGTATACAGGATTGATGCTAATGTGTGGCATAAAAATATACCTCAGACAACCCCAGGGACAACAATACACTCTTGGCACTTGCCTTTACTGAGAACGTCGTGGTGGACACCAGATTCCCATGTGAGGGAGAAGGGCAATGGGTGTGTTGTGTAAGCAAGCCCCTTCTCTCATTGGTCGATCAGCTGAATTTGGAAACAATGACAAAGCTCGATTGACTCACAAATGATACAAGACTGTCTCACAGTATCTTGTGAGTGTGCCTGCATACCAGATCTGTGTTGAAATTCAGAAGGACATACTTCAATGCGTTATGTTAATTTCTACAGTACTAAACTGCACAAAGCAGTCTCTTCCCACTGGGCACACACTTCAGATCAGATCAAAGATCAGATCCAATTTTATTGGCCACATGCTCCGAATACAACAGGTGCAGACATTACAGTGAAATGCTTACTTACAGCCCTTAACCAACAGTGCATTTATTTTTAATAAAAAAGTAGAATAAAACAACAAAAAAGTGTTGAGAAACAAAAAAAGTGTTGAATCAACGTTGTTTTCATGTAATTTCAATGAAACAACTTGAACCAACATGGAATAGACATTAAATTGATGTGTGTGCCCACTGGGTTGGCATACTCCAATAAATAAGTAATTTAATGGGAGTAAGAAACCAGATGTTAAGGTTCTGTTAACTTTAATCTTTCTAGCATGTAGCACAAAATAAATTGTGAGATTGAAATTACACTGGGGGGAGAGGCAGTGGTGTGGGTGTGAAATTAATGTGACCAGTATGACTGTTTTTATGAACTGGACAGAGAGTGATGCACGCCAATTGTCTTCTCCTCCACATTTGTCTGGTACATCAGGCAAAACATATTAACCTGAGGGTCAGCTTGACATACTGTAACTTGATGAGAGAACAATAATATGTACTGTTTGATTGATTATAATATAATATTATTGGTCTATAAACATGATGCATGTCCACATTTCTGATCCTAACTTGTGATGGATCTTAGCTAAATAGCCTGTCCACTGACTAGAGAACATTTCAAACCTGTATCTCACTCTGGAGTAATATTGTTCCACTAATACTTATAATCTGTATAATTTATTTTTCTAAAATGGGCAAAAACCACAGTCAGAGGAGCATGTATGAACATGTACAGTATTATTTATCAGGGAGGCTTTATGCTTTGCCCTCGCTACAAAAGTACCAACATATGAATCTGAGTTGACCTTTAAAGATGATCTGTGTATCTAATGTATACAGTAATTTATACAGATCACCTTACATAACCAGTAAACCTGAGATTTGTGGAGAAATGTCAACTCTGTACTTTGGAATGCATATTGTATTTAGATGTGGTATTTTCCGAGTGCAAATACAGTATTGTTGGCCAAATATAAACCACTGATAAACTACACTTTTTCTGGTAATCATTCAATAAGCTTTCTCATTCCAAATATAGCAAGCTGTTTCTTTGAATTTTCTCCGGTTATGTGCATGACTAACTAAGGGAATTGATGCTTAGGGCTACCAAAGTGCCCAACCCAGTGTTTAAGATGGGAGTGATGCCTAACCTTGGTCTGTGACATCTAACCCACTGAAGACACATTGTAATTAAGGAGAAGGATGCCTATTGGCTGTGCTCCCCCTATATCTCCCTAATCTCAGACAGACTATCCACTGTGGTTGTCATCTTTGGCCCAAGGGGAAGCATTATGATAGAAGATAAGGCAGAAATGTAAGCATGACTCTGCAATATACAATACACACCTCTGGGCTTTCCTGACAACACTGAGGATAAGTCTACTTGATTCTTCAATGTTATGATTAACATACAGACCCACATTTCCCAACAACCACTTTGGAGAGGATACATAATGGTAGTCGCACCATGTGGAGACAGCTGGATAGAGGAAGGATATTTATTTATTTTCCCTTTTGTACTTTAACTATTTGCACATCGCTACAACACTGTATATAGACATAGTATTACATTTGAAATGTCTTTACTATTTTGGAACTTGTGTGAGTGTAATATTTACTGTTTATTTCACTTTTGTTTATCGATTTCACTTGCTTTGGCAATGTAAACATATGTTTCCCATGGCAATAAAGCCCCTTGAATTGAATTGAATTGAATTGACAGAGACACACAGAGAGAGAGAGAGAGAGAGAGAGGAGAGAGAGAGAGAGAGAGAGCGACAGCGAGAGAGAGAGAGAGAGAGAGAGAGAGAGACAGACAGACAGACAGACAGACAGACAGACAGACAGACAGGCAGACAGACAGACAGGCAGACAGACAGACAGACAGACAGACAGACAGACAGGCAGACAGACAGACAGACAGGCAGACAGACAGACAGACAGACAGACAGACAGACAGACAGACAGACAGACAGACAGACAGACAGACAGACAGACAGACAGACAGACAGACAGACAGACAGACAGACAGACAGACAGACAGACAGACAGACAGACAGACAGACAGACAGACAGACAGACAGACAAACAGGCAAACAGGCAAGCAGAGAGACAGACAGACAGAGAGAGAGAGATAACCAAGCAGCCAGCCAGACAGCCAGCCAGATATATATCTAAGCAGTCAGACAAACATAGTGCCAGATAGCTGGGGGCGTATTGGAGTCTGTACAGGTCTAATATCACAGTTTGGTGTCATGCAGTCCTTAGTCTCTTATTAGCTTGGCTTTGACCGTGAGTTCTGCTGAGGAAATTAAAACTCACTGTGAGTTCACAGAATCTGGACAAAACAGATCAATGTCCTGTCCATTTGTGTCCAAAAAGCCGGACATCCAGAATAGAGCAAATAGTTATCTTTGCGCGCATTAAAACAGCATGTGTGACATACAACAACAAACATGATCATTCTTTGACATTATTCTGTATAGTTTGACTGCAGCCATGGCCATGCTAGAACTCCAGTCTAAAAAGCCTGCAGCTCTGTCTAGGAGGTCAACGAGCTGTGTCAGCATTAATTACTAACATTTACATTAGTAATAAATACTTAATTATAAACATTTATATGTAGTGAATACTGCTCCATCTGGTCTCCTCTCTCTCTTGCTCTCTCACTCTCTCTCTGCACCACACACACTCACAGAGGTCCTCCAGCTGAGTTTGCAGTCAGTCCATTGTTTATAAGAACTCTTCAACCCTCTTCAAAAGAGCCTATATGCATCAAACACCACACTGCCAAGGTGTCCAGCATCCTCACGCTAAACCCCCATCTGATTACTCACAGATTGGATACGCTGTGGGAAAACTGTAAACAAGCAAAAACTTGTCGTAATTACTTAGCACGATGAAATACAAATATGTTTCAGATGGAAGCCAGCAGGAAGGTAGAGTGCTGTATGGCTGCAGGACTTTGGTTTCCACATGAAGGGACTGTACTCTATCTATTCTTTGCTTTAGCTGAGGGCCAAGCTGTACGTCACATGCCCTTTGGTCTTATGGTGTGTAATGTGTAAACTGTCTGTGATGTACTGCAGTGGTTTCAGCACTTTTCCACACTTATACTCTTAGAAGAAAGGGTTCCAAAAGAGTTCTTCAACTGTCCCCATAGGAGAACCCTTTTTGGTTCCAGGTAGAACTTTTGAGTTCCATGTAGAAACCTCTGTGTAAAGGGTTCTACATGAAACTCAAAAGGGCTCTACCTGGAACTAAAATGGTTCTACCTGGAACCAAAAAGGGTTCTTCAAAGGGTTATCCAATGGGGACAGCCGAATAACCCTTTTAGGTTTTAGATAGCAACTTTTTTTTAAAGAGTGTATGACCCACCTAAAGCGTTTTACTTGTTACCTACAGTACCAAGTAAACAAAACCAATATTTCTAGATATGATCCTGTCTTCAGTCAGGATCCTCCAGGGGGTCGCAACTCATCATTTGGGAAACACTGTATAGCTTGAAAACTTCTGCTCTCCCCCTCTTCCTCTCCTCTTCTCATCTCATCCTCCTTTCCTCCTCTCAGCTCTCACTGTTCCCCAATAATGCTCTCTACTGCTGTGCCTGTTCCAACACAGCCTACATTAAACCTGCCACCTCACCACAGCCCTCAGCCCCCCGACCCGTATATCCATCTGTCAGGGACCCCTGCCTGCCTGTCCTAGTAC